TATTGATGATTTTTCACGTTGCACGTGGTTATTTTTAATGAAGAATAGATCTGAATTGTTTTCCATTTTTGAACAATTTTATCGAGAAATAAGAACCCAATTTGGTTTGTCTATTCGTACCTTAAGAAGTGACAATGCACGTGAATATTTATCCCAACAATTTCAAACATTTATGTCATCCAATGGTATTTTGCACCAAACATCTTGCCCTCATACACCCCAACAAAATGGGGTAGCCGAACGCAAAAATCGGCACCTCGTAGAAACCACTCGGACCCTACTTCTCCATGGTAATGTTCCTCTCCGGTTTTGGGGAGATGCAGTGCTCACGGCATGTTACCTCATAAATCGCATGTCATCATCTGTCCTTAATAATAAAATCCCTCATTCAATCTTGTTTCCAAACTCTCCACTCCACCCAATTCCTCCTCGAGTCTTCGGGTCCACGTGTTTTGTACACAATCTCTCCCCTGGTCTTGATAAACTATCAGCTCGATCACTAAAGTGTGTCTTTCTTGGCTATCATCGATCCCAAAAAGGTTATCGTTGCTACTCACATACTCTACAACGATACCTCGTATCCGCCGATGTTACCTTCTTCGAGTCTGTTCCATATTTCGAATCCAGCCAAGTTACTATGGAACCTCTACAAGAAAGTATTCCCACACCTTTTCCGGAAGTCCCATCTGTCATTATCCCCCATCATTCTAGGGAACCTGACCCACTAGTTACCCCTACGGTTGACCCCCCCACTCCTCGCCCACTTCAAACATATCAGCGTCGTCACCCAAAGTCTGTCGTACCTGTCCCTGAAGTCGTACCTGTCCCTGAAGTCGTACCTGTCCCTGAAGTCGTACCTGTCTCTGAGGTCACTACGGTCGTACCTGTCCCTGAAGTCGTACCTGTCCTTGAGGTCACTACAGACTCTCTTCCGACGCTCTCGCCATCACCGGATTCGGTCCTGCAACCTGAGTCTGATCTTCCGATTGCCCTTCGAAAAGGTATACGTCAAACACGAAATCCTTCTCCACATTATATTGATTTATGTTATCATCGTCTTTCCCCTTTGCAGTATACTTGTTTGTCTTCTTTGTCTTCTGTTTCTATTCCTAAAACTCCAGGTGAAGCATTATCTCACCCTGAGTGGAGGCAAGCAATGATTGATGAAATGTGTGCTCTTCAAAGCAGTGGTACCTGGGAACTGGTTCCTCTACCCCATGGGAAATCTTTAGTAGGTTGTCGTTGGCTTTATACAGTGAAGGTTGGTTTAGATGGCAAGATTGATCGATTTAAAGCCCGCTTGGTAGCCAAAGGATACACTCAAATTTTTGGGTTGGATTATAGTGATACCTTCTCGCCTGTAGCCAAGATGGCATCTGTTAGACTTCTTCTAGCCATTGCAGCCATTCGACATTGGTCTCTTCATCAACTTGACATCAAAAATGCATTCTTACACGGTGATCTTGAAGAGGAAGTATATATGGAGCAACCACCTGAGTTTGTTGCTCAGGGGGAGTCATCGAATATGGTTTGTAGGCTACACAGGTTTCTTTATGGTCTTAAGCAATCTCCGAGAGCTTGGTTTGGCAGATTCAGCACTGTAGTACAACAGTTTGGTATGACCCGTAGTGAAGCTGACCATTCTGTTTTTTATCGTCACTCACCCCAAGGGTGTATTTATCTTATTGTGTATGTAGATGACATTGTCATAACTGGTAGTGATCAGCAGGGAATACTCCAGTTGAAACAACATCTCTCGAAACAATTTCAGACAAAAGATCTTGGTAAACTCCGCTATTTCTTGGGTATTGAAGTAGCCCAATCTAAAGATGGTCTGGTCATTTCTCAGCGGAAATATGCTATGGATATTTTGGAAGAAACAGGTTTGTTAAATGCTAAACCAGCTGATACTCCTATGGATCCAAGTGTTAAACTACTACCCAATCAGGGGGAGCCTTTATCTGATTCAGGAAGATATAGGAGATTAATTGGAAAGTTGAATTATCTCACAGTCACTCGTCCGGACATTTCTTTTGCAGTCAGTGTGGTAAGCCAGTTCTTAAATTCCCCTTGTCAGGAACACATGGATGCTGTTATCCGGATTTTGAGATACATCAAATGTGCTCCAGGAAAAGGCCTTGTGTACGAGGATAAAAGACATACCCAGATAATTGGATACTCTGATGCTGATTGGGCAGGGTCACCCATTGATAGACGATCCACCTCTGGGTATTGTGTACTTGTTGGAGGAAACCTTATCTCCTGGAAAAGTAAGAAACAAAATGTAGTTGCAAGATCAAGCGCCGAGGCAGAGTATAGGGCCATGGCAATGGCAACATGTGAACTTATTTGGTTAAAACAGTTGCTCAAGGAACTTCAAATTGAAGAAGCAAGACCAATGACACTTATTTGTGATAATCAAGTTGCATTGCACATTGCTTCAAATCCAGTCTTCCATGAGAGGACCAAACATATTGAGATAGACTGTCACTTTGTCAGAGAGAAGATCGAGTCAGGCGACATCGTCACAAGCTTTGTCAACTCTAATGATCAATTGGCAGATGTGTTTACAAAATCCATACGAAGCCCCAAAACTAACTATATATGTAACAAGCTTGGTGCATTTGACTTATATGCTCAAGTTTGAGGGGGAGTGTTGATATGTGTGTGTGTGTATATGTATATGTATATATATATATATATATATATATATATATATATATATATATATATATATATATATATATATATATATATATATATATATATATATATATATATAGTGTTGAGAATATTTGTATATAGAATAGTCCCACATCGACTATATCATGTAATTACTTGTATTCTATTTATATATAATAATGTCTCCGTAGTGCTTTTCAAAACACACGGTTTATTCAAATGTCTCTTAGTCTCTTGTATTTCAACAAATATGATAAAGAAAAGTATTTTATTAATGAATGTGAAAGTAAAATAAATTCCAGAGCTACTGCTCCTCAGTCAGAGAAACAATTCTCTCACTGCCCAAATCCTAATATCAAAAAACAGAAAATCAATCCATGCCTAACTACTGTCCCATACACTCCTTTTTATATGGAGAATAATCCCTAAACTAACTCCTATTTATATGGAGAATAATACCTAAACTAACTCCTATTTATTTGTGGAGTTTCCTATTCTTTCTCACATACACCCTCCATTGTTTAGGTCCAATAATATCTCTATTAACTAACACATTCCCATTATCATTTGTGGGATCCGATCCATTCCTATCAGAGGGCCTCTCCTTAAGTCAGGGTCGACTTATCCACAACTTTTGAGTTGATCTCTGAGTGCAAGAAATCTTTAAGAGGACAAAGGTTTGGTGAGAAGATCAGCATACTGATGAGTAGCAGGCATATGCTTGACTAGAAGTGTCTTGTTAATGACTTTTTCTCTTATATGTCCCCCCTTTTTGTTTCTTGAATCATGTTCTACAGTTTTTTTTGGTATACTGTGTTTACTATAGCTGCTAGTTGCCTTACTTAGGCCATAGTCAGTCGTCTGTCACATTCTTATGCTGGAATTTAGGTTTAGTGTAATGAAATGCCTTAATTCTTAATAATGGCATTGATCTGAATCAGTGTTTTCAATCTCAAGAGGCTACCTGGGTTTATGGGGGTAGGAATCAAGTAAAATGTGCGGATAGAGGGATTGTAACATAGATCTTAAGATCCTATGTTAAATGATAGCTATATTCAATTAAATATATATGTAAATATTAAGTGATACAAATTTACCAATTAACTATAAAATCACAACTAATGTTCAATAAAACTTAAATTGAAAATGCCCAAGGTCAGAATGGATGACTCAAGTTAACGACACAGGACGGACAAATTTATATTTATTGTACATTCCATCAGCGGCTAAAGACATGTTTTAATTGTAGTGCTTACCATCAGCCACTAGCTACCTATAGTAAAATGCAGTTTGTAGGAAATAGCAAGCAACTACAAACAAATTTTTGAGGAGAGTAGAATGTTTAACAATTTTTTTAAACAAAATAGCACACAACCTCATCCAATAATCAGCCACAATGAACTTTGAATGAGAGAGTTTAACTACAACTATCATCCACAAACCCAGAAACAATTTCAAACCAGCCACCTTGTCGCTAGTCACCTCTTACATCACCTGGATATCATGGACAAAGCCGTGCCTCTGGTCCAATCACAGAATTTAGCAGTAGAGATGCAGAATTGGGTCAAACCTGACTTTATGGTTCAGGTTGGCTCATGCTTTTCCTGAATTCGTTTTATTCACAATGTGTATAGAATTAGTTCTTCTCTTTATCAGTTCCCTTATAATTTAGTACACGGCGGCCTGATTAATGGCTGTTAAACAATCATCGTTACAGTATTTAATATTGTGATAATTTTTGATCTCCATGGGCATATATAGAGATCAATACATTGGTGAATTTCTACATAATAGCATAGCATAAATTTTCAGTGCTGGTCTTCTACAATTTGTTGTCATTGCATTGACACAAGATTGATATGTTTATGGACGATGAGTTTAAATAAGGGTATATAGAGACTTCCTTAACTCCAAAACATTGGACTGCCCCCACTTATAAGGTAAGGACCGCCTTAACTCATAAACATATTTCTAGACCGTATTTCATTTGATGTAAGACTCTTAACACGCCCTTCACACCCATCACTATTGGGTTCGGTGCGATATATAATTAGTAGGTGGCCTAACAAATATTGAATTAGGTTTTTATACAATTATAGTTGGGTCTAACTCGATCTTTACAAGTCAATTTTGTAGAGTTGAGTTAGGCCCAATCGCAATTCTATATCACTTAGTTTATGTTTATGGTGATATCTGTTATGTCTTATAGTTTCCGTAGGCAACTATCACTTGAAGTTTAAAGTCATGTAGTTAGTTGACGATACTAGAATCTTTAACTATACATTAATAATATGGTTGGTTAATTGTGAAATGTTCAGGTTATGCGCTTCCAAATTTTGCCCAACTCACTGTGACATCCTATTATGCAAGCTCAAGTGCATCCCATTATGGAATCTCACTTCTCACCCGGCATATTGAAGAAAACTACAATTCCAATAATCTGCATCTCAAGCGGATGTGATGATTCCTTTCAGGTTCTTTCACAAGCATGACACATTACCGTTTGAAATTTTGTCTATTATTTTTTGATCTATGTACCTTGTTGTGGATGGTTAGGATTTATGAGGTTTAAATCATGTTTTTCTTTGTTACACCCTCTGAAAATCATTATAATGTAAATAATAATGATTTAGTATAATTTACTTTCAAGCTGCAATAATCCATTTTGAACAGTATTGTGTGCTGTTCAAGATGAGCTATTTGTTTATATAAGAAAGTTGCATTTTGTTGTGGTTTTACAAAAATAATTGTATTTTGTTGGCATGGGATATACTAATTAGTGTTATTGTATGAGTTAATGCGCTGAATCTTTTTCATTTTGGTGTGTATTTAGTTTGTTAATGTAGAATGCTAGACACTATTCTTTAATGGTGTCTCGTAGGCGTAGTTAGGCTCGTGTCTTCGACTACCTTTGATTTAATTATACCTTTAAGTTGATATTTTAATTTAATTATACCTTTAAGTTGGTATTTTAATTTAATTATACATATAACATGTAATTTAATTATACCTTTAAGTTGATATTTTAATTGTTTCATCTATTATTTGCGGTTCGACCACCCTTTTGCATATACTTTTTAAATTTTGAAATGTTATATATTTTTGTTTGTTTAGTTTTATAATAAAATAAATACAGGAATTCGTATATTTTCCCCCTCTCATAATGTCCTAAAATGTTGTAAAGTAAAAAATCCTATATACAGAGAAACTGTTGTGTAAAAACAAAGTTCATTAATTAATTGAATGAGAAACTCTTATGTAAAAACAAAGTTCATTAATTAATTGAAATTAATTGAATGAATGAACTTTCTCTTTTGAATATAACCACATGATCGTTTCATACTTTTCTTTTGTTTGTCTTTCATGTTAATATGATTACATTCTACTTGGACTCTTGCATCATCAAATTTATTTGGGCATGGGTTGGATTGGCCAATTTAGAAGTGGTCCACTGATCCATATCATGAGAAAATAAATTGCACCCTTGGTAGAGTATTAAGGGGAGTGTTTTTTCCATCCTTTGGAGTGCCCCCTACACCCAAAATGGCTTGACCGCATAATTTTCTTTGTACGGCGTGAAGGCGGTAAGAGGTGGTCAATTCTCATTGTAGACAAACATCCTACCCAATGATGCGAAGGAAGTGAGAGATGATATACTTTTGAAAATGGTTTAGATGCAATATTAATAACAAATGTCATAAATGAATTATAGAAATTCACAAAATTCATAAAATCAACTAAATTTTAGACTGAGATAAATTCGGAGATACATCTCTAAAAATAACATTAAAAAAATTCAAAGATGCATCTCTAGAATAATTGTGATTCTTAGCCATGGCAGCAACACATTACTCTCTAATCCTCCAAACATATGTCAATGTATGTTCTTGTATCCTACCAAATTTGTTTCCATAACTACTACCGTAGTTTAAACAACTAACTAAAAATCAAAACATAAGAAAATAAAGAATTTTAAAAAACTTACCAATTCAAATGGATGAGAAAAAGAAACTTGAATGGATGTGATGTTTGAAAGGATGAGAAAGAGCTCAAATGGTAAAAGTTTGAATGAATGGGAAGCTTGAATGTATATGAGAGCTCAAAAGCGTCCAATGTATTATTTGACATTTTTTTTAGAAAATGAAGGAAGAAGAGCGAAGGTCTGACGCGAGCATATGAAACAAAAGCGTCCGGTGATTCATCTCCAGACTACCAATTAATTTTTGACTAAATGGTGTTTATGAAGATGCATCTTCAGATGCATCTTTTATTCACATGGAGATGCATCTCCAGATTAAATTTTAGCATAATAAGGTGTTTTGTCAATTTGCTATGAGGAATGGTTTAAAAAGGCGCATGTAGAGATGCATCTTCGGACGCTAGAGACTTTTCACTGTGGTAAGGGAGCACATATAAGGATGAATAAAATAACCTTCGAGTTTTAATCAAGATTGTCACAAGCAAATAGAGGCGAAAATAAGTCAGATGAACTAGCAGAGACTTACGACTTAACCTACACAGATTCATGTCAGATTAGGCTTTTTCTTATATAAGAAGTGTCTAAACTTTTTTTATAAGTCTATTTCGTTAAAAAGTTTAGGTCCCAGACCGTAATCAAAGCATTTTAAATATATCAGACCAACTTATTTAAATAAAAAATAAAATTATTATGTTGTATTTTATACTTTAAATTAAAATACAAAAATAAATGTTAGTTTTCTTGAAAAACTTATAAAAAATAAGTTGAAAAAACCTTTGCGGATGTTTTATGCTGAAAATGATGTTCCATAACGAATGGAAGTGCAAATGAAAATGTTGACGTGCGGAGATGCAAGAGCTGGGGAAGTATGATATGATGTGGTATGCATATGATGAAAGATGCTTATGCCAACGAATGTGATGCATATGATGCACATGATTGCACACGGGTAATTGGAAATGCAGGAGGGATACGCCAACTT